GAGCTTCACCCAATAAAGGAAGTTCCACTTTTGGTCCTAGTTTTGATAGGTGCCCACTCCCACTTCCACTCAGATTGCCTAGGAGATACGAGTGGAAAGTTCTCCTCCCCCCCCCTCCCCATCCCGCAGTCTTCTGGGACACTTCACAGGTCCCAGAAGACTGCATGACCACTCAAAGTACATGGCAGCGCGCATGCACAGTAGCTAGCCGGCTTCCTACAGTTAGCATACCAGCACTGGGAACCCCAAGTTAAGAACTATCCCAGATGAGGATGGCGCTGGATCCCTGGACAGGTAATTAAAAGTCAGCAACTACTGACTAGCTGCTGACTTATTTTTTTCTCCAGGTGAAGAACCGCTTTAAGTAACAAGTAATTATGACAAACAACTAACTGACATAAGCGATTATAAAAATAGTTGTCAACTATTTTCATTATCGATTAGTTGGTCAACCTATTAGTTTGCCTGCATACAAAATGCATTGCTTACATATCAGGAAATACAGTGCAGTGTCAATATAAACAGTGCAGCACACATACAGCTCTATTCCTAGATTGTAAGCTCCAACAAGCAGGGCCCTCTTTTTCCTCTTGTTCCAAATTGTATTGTCACTGTAATGTCTACCTTCATTTTGTAAAGCACTGCGCAAACTGTTGGTGCTATATAAATCATGAATAATAATAATAATACACAGTCTATACGTTAGTATGTGCCTGAGAACTTGTGAATGTGTGAGGAGCAATGCCTAATGGGACATCTACTCCTGGGCAGGAGGAAAGGGGGTTTAAGTGATTCTAAAGGGAGACTTTTTTTTTACCTTGCTAGAGGGGCAATCTATATTATACTTTGAGGAGAAGCCAGAAGAGCTGGCGGGGGACCCCAGAAGTGGAGGATCATGGCTGCTCTGTGCAAAAACCACTGCCCAGAAGAGATAAGTATAACATGTTTGTCATTTTAAAAAAAAATCCAACGTTTACAATCACTTTAACCTTCTTAGCGGTCTGATTATGTCAGTATTTCTGTGCTAAAAGCGATACATTTTTTTGCATGGAAATATATTGTTTTTTTATTGTAGGCCTGTAATTCTTATGAATAACTCACTGAAATCTGTCAGAACAAGAGTTTAGTAAACATCCCGGGTATGATAAAATTTGAAACATGAAATCATAAAATATAATAATCATAAAAAATAATAATATAATAAAAAATTGTATTCAATGTAATCAAACCAAAAACACTGAAATTTGAAATAGAGCGCCAAGTTCACACATCGCTGAGCTCAGTCGCAGAATCGTTTTCAGTGTCTGATGGCGAATTTCCCCACGAATCCTTATCACTCAATTCTGCAAGTGGTTCTAATTTACTATCACTGTTCTCTAGCTGGTCTAAAACCACTTTTGACCTAAAGGGATACTTTTTGGACGCCATGGACGTTTCTCAGTTTCCAGGCAGAAAGAACAGTAAAAATGCAGGCAGGGCACAGGACAAAGCACTAGGGACAAAATGTATGTGAAATGGTTTGATACATTAATGTAATACTAATAGATTTTAGTGTATTGAGTGAAAGTCACGTTTTTACATTTTTGAAATTCCCGCCAGTTCCGTGCCCCGTACATCCCAACACTCGCAGGGAACGGAACCCGGATGCCGGCATCGGCCGGAGGACATGGCCAGGGACGCTGCAGAGGGGACTTCGTGGGAGCGCAGACAAGGTAAGTGAGGAGGAATCCCTGAGCAACGCTGCAGGGTAATCCTGAGTGTAGCTCGGGGTTCTGAAAGTTCTGGTACTGAAAGTTTACCCGAGCTACACTCGGGGGTACCACCAGGGAGGTTAACCACTTCCCAACCGCCCGCACGTAATGTACTGTACGTAATCGTATGTCGCTCTGGCTGTACTAACACAAGGGGGCGCAGCGCTCCCCTCATCACGACTGCTGGAATGAAGAACCATGAACGGGACCTGGAGCTATACGATCACATGATCAGAATGTAAGCAAAGCTGTTATGAATCAATCTCATTCATAACAGCTCTGCTTCTCTTCCTAGTGAGCTGTAATTGGCCCACAGCTGTCACATGATACATGGGGTCAAGCAAAGCACCCAGTACCATGTGACCAGCTCAAGCCAATCACAGATCACTATCCTGATCTATCAAACCTTAACTAATTCAAGACAGTTCAAGAATGAGTTAGGTTCCGACAGTTAGGGCAGAGGAGAGATTTAGAGTCTGATAGACCCCAGATTTCTCAAAAAAGAATAAATGACAATGCCCATTGATGATATAGGGGATATTTGAATTCCCTGTAATAGCATTAAAAGTAATAGCAAATGATCTATTTCTCCTGCAAAGCAAAGTGTAAAAAAAAAAAAACCCTGACCACCCCCCCCCCCCACAGTAGTACAATGTTATTATGGTAACATTGTACTATTCTGATAAAAGTATTTGAAAAAAAAAAAATCTCTAACTACTTGTCAAACACTTACCCACATTTTGCGGGCAAGCAGCAGCTCTTGGAAAAGCGACGTAATCTTGCATCACTTCCTATTTTGGGGTGTGAACGCACCTGCGCCCACCCCTCCCACCTGTCGGTCCAGGGAGAGAAGTGAGAGCACCGCACCGAGTAAAAGCACTACATTTTACACACACACACACACACGTTAGATTAGCACATTTAACCCTTTGATCACCCCTTCACCCAGCCAGTGCCATTAGTGTTAGTAATAGACACTGTGTTAGTATATAGAATTTTTCACTGATCACTGTATTCCTTCCACTAGCGACATCAGTTAACATCAGGGTTAGTTAGCACCCCACCCATCCAGGGTCAGCTAGCGTTAGATTACCCGCACATTAGCCACTATCGCACTCACGCTATATGTCGCTGATATGCCCCATTACTGTATAGCGTTTGTACAGCTCAAGATATTGATCACGTACAGAACTATAGTAGTGCCTCCTTTGTATAGTGTCAGCAAAAACGCTGCCAGCACTAGTGTTTAGCCCCTCTGCTGTTTTTCACAGAAGATTTGTACCAATTGATTGTGGGCCAAAGCAATTTATACGAGCAACAGTACATGGCTGCCCACCCAATTTCAGCGCTTTCCAGACAATTCGCATATAAAACCATCACGGCTGCTGAATTTAAAACTCTTTTGGGCCTAACCCACAACATGGGTATTACAGAAAAGAATGAGTTGCGGTCATGTTGATCCACAGAGCCAATTTATCATATGCCTGTGTTCTCTGCTGTTACATACAGTTGTGTTCAAAATAATAGCAGTGTGTTGAAAAAAGTGAATAAAGCTCAAAATCCTAATAGCTTTTATTTCCATACACACAAATGCATTGGGAACACTATACATTCTATTCCAAATCAAAACACGAAGAAAAATATATCAAGTTTGTGTTGTTCCTATAAAAAAATTGAAGAAAGTGAATATTAGACTGTTCAAAAAAATAGCAGTGTTTGTATTCTTCTTTACAAACTCAAACATTCACTATATAAACTGAAAAATGTTTGAAGATTTTGCTTTTCTTTGAATCACTTAATATTTAGTTGTATAACCACTGTTTCTGAGAACTGCTGTACATCTGTGTTGCATGGAGTCAACCAACTCCTGGCACCTGTGAACAGGTATTCCAGCTCAGGATGATTGGACTACCGTATTTTCCGGCGTATAAGACGACTTTTTACCCCATGAAAATCTTCTCAAAAGTCGGGGGTCGTCTTATACGCCGGTATACGGCATGCTGACACTTTTTAGGGAGGCGGCTCGGTGCCGCCGCCGCCGCCACCCCCCCTTCCAACGGAAGGGACACTAAGTACAGGGGTGGGCTGCTGTCTCTTACCTGGCTCCGGTCCCGCGACGACCCGGTCCAGGAAGCGCGGCTGCTCCTTCATTAGGTTCGGCCACTGGATGTTCACACGGCTGCTCGGCTCCGCCTCCTCACCGGTGATTGGCCGCCAGAACTGTAGCTCAGGAAAGGCACACAGGCGGCCAATCACCGGTGAGGAGGCGGAGCCGAGCGGCCCCACGAAAATCGAGTGAAGGAGCGGCCGGTAAGTGTGCCGTGCAGAGGTGCTGCTGCAACCACATATGCTGGCTGCAGCAGCACCATACTAGAACAGGTGTAATTGGTGTCACTGGGAGGAATAGTGCCCCATCATTGGTGTCACTGATACCAATGATGGGGCATTATTCCTCCCACTGACACCAACGATGGGGCACTATTCCTCCCCCTACTGACACCAATGATGGGATACTATTCCTCCCACTGACACCAATGATGGGACTTTATTCCTCTCACTGATACTAATGTTTTAACACTATTCCTCCCACTGACACCAATGATGGGACACTATTCCTCCCACTGACACCAATGTTCGGACACTATTCCTCCCACTGACACCAATGATGGGGCACGATTCCTCCCACTGACACCAAAGATTGGGCACTATTCCCCCCACTGATACCAATGATGGGGCGCTATTCCTGCCACTGATACAAATGATGGGGCACTATTCCCCCCACTGATACCAATGATGGGGCGCTATTCCTGCCACTGATACCAATGATGGGGCACGATTCCTCCCACTGACACCAATGATGGGGCACTATTCCTCCCACTGACACCAATGATGGGGCGCTATTCCTCCCACTGACACCAATGTTGGGACACTATTCCTCCCACTGACACCAATGATGGGACACTATTCCTCCCACTGACACCAATGTTGGGACACTATTCCTCTCACTGACACCAATGTTGGGACACTATTCCTCCCACTGACACCAATGTTGGGACACTATTCCTCCCACTGACACCAATGTTGGGACACTATTCCTCCCACTGACACCAATGATGGGACACTATTCCTCCCACTGACACCAATGTTGGGACACTATTCCTCCCACTGACACCAATGATGGGGCACGATTCCTCCCACTGACACCAAAGATGGGGCACTATTCCCCCCACTGATACCAATGATGGGGCGCTATTCCTCCCACTGATACCAATGATGGGGCACGATTCCTTCCACTGACACCAATGATGGGGCGCTATTCCTCCCACTGACACCAATGTTGGGACACTATTCCTCCCACTGACAGCAATGATGGGACACTATTCCTCCCACTGACACCAATGTTGGAACACTATTCCTCCCACTGACACCAATGTTGGGACACTATTCCTCCCACTGACACCAATGTTGGGACACTATTCCTCCCACTGACACCAATGTTGGGACACTATTCCTCCCACTGACACCAATGTTGGGACACTATTCCCCCCACTGATACTAATGATGGGGCACTATTCCTGCCACTGATGCCAATGATTGGGCACGATTCCGCCCACTGACACCAATGATAGGGCACGGTTCCTCCCACTGACACCAATGATGGGGCGCTATTCCTCCCACTGACACCAATGATGGGGTGCTATTCCTCCCACTGACACCAATGATGGGGCACGATTCGTCGCTCTGACACCAATGATGGGGCACTATTCCTCCCACTAATACCAATGATGGGGCACTATTCCTCCCACTGACACCAAGGATGGGACACTATTCCTCCCACTAATAGCAATGATGAGACACTATTCCTCCCACTGACACCAATGATGGGGCAGGATTCTTCCCACTGGTGTGGATTGGAAGAGGGGTAGTCTTATACGGCGAGTATAGCCCAAACACTACATTTTAACAGGAAAAGTAGGGGGTCGTCTTATACGCCCAGTCGTCTTATACGCCAGAAAATACGGTACATTCCACAGTTCTTCTCTATTTCTTGGTTTTGCCTGAAAAACTGCATTTTTGATGTCACCCCACAAGTTTTCTTTTGGCTTAAGATCCGGGGATTGGGCTGGCCACTCCATAACGTCAATCTTGTTGGTCTGGAACCAAGATGTTGCACGTTTACTGGTGTGTTCGGGGTCGTTGTCTTGTTGGAACACCCATTTCAAGGGCATTTCCTCTTCAGCATAAGGCAGCATGACCTCTTCAAGTATTCTGATGTATTCAAACTGCTCCATGATCCCTGGTATGCAATAAATAGGCCCAACATCCCTATATCATGATGCTTGCGTAACCATGCTTCACTGTCTTCACAGTGTACTGTGGCTTGAATTCAGTGTTTGGGGGTCATCTGACAAACTGTCTCTGGCCATTAGACCCAAAAAGAACAATCTTACTTTCATCAGTCCACAAAATGTTGCGCCATTTCTCTTTAGGCCAGTCAATGTGCTCTTTGGCAAATTGTAACCTCTTCAGCACGTCTTTTTTTCAACAGTGGGACTTTGCGGGCGTTTCTTGCAGATAGCTTGGCTTCACATATGCGTCTTCTAATTGTAACAGTACTCACAGGTAACTTTAGACCTTCTTTGTCCTTCCTGGAGCTGATTGTTGTCTGAGTCCTTGTCATTTTGGCTATTCTTCTATCCAATCAAATGGTAGTTTTTCGCTTTCTACCACGTCTTTCAGGTTTTGGTTGCCATTTTAAAGCATTTGCGATTATTTTAGCTGAGCAGCCTATCATTTTCTGCACTTCTTTATATGTTTTCCCCTCTCCAATCAACTTTTTAATCAAGGTACGCCGTTCTTCTAAACAATGTCTGGAATGACCCATTTTCCTCAGAATTTCAGAGAGAAATGCACTGTAACCAGCATGTACCACATTTGCTGCCTTCCTTCCTTAAATAAGGGCAATAATTGCCACCTGTTTTTCAAAGAATGAATGACCTCACTAATAGAACTCCACACTGCTATTATTTTGACCATACCCCTTTCAATTAGTGATTCAATTACACAGAATCAGCAGCATGCATGTCATGACTGTTGGGTCTGTTAGATTTATATTACTCTACACCTGCTAGTATATTATTTGCCATGTAGAAATATCATTTCTACCAAAAACAGTGATTGATCAGGTTAGTGATGTCTGACTGCTATTATTTTGCACACAACTGTATATGTCCAACATGGACTAGCAATGTACTGGTACGTTGCTGGATTTTGAGTGGTTATACCGGGATGATCTGGTTCTGGTTATACCAGGCATCAATCTGGTACCGTTTTTTTCAGCTGGCGGGCGGCTTTCATGTAAAAGCAATCCTAGTGGCCAATTAGCTGCTGAATTTTTTTTTTACGAGCAGCGGGAAGGGACATTTCCCCCCCGCCTTCCACAGTTTTCTTGGGCTCTCTTGTCCCACAGGGAAATCAATGCAACCGGAAGTTCTGCTGGCTGACCATAGAGCTGATCAGAGACCAGAAGGGCTCCAATCATCTCTATAGTCTAAGAGACAAGAAGCTACAATTCATTTCATCACTTCAGTTTAGCAGGATATAAACAGCGCCATTTGTAAATTGGGAAAGCATCTGATCACACCGATCTTGGTGAGATTAGATAATGTAAGGGCAGAAGAGAGATTTAGAGTCTGATAGACCCCAGATTTCTCAAAAAAGAATATATGACAGCGCCCATTGACGTTATAGGGGATATTTGCATTCCCTGTAATAGCATTAAAAGTGATCAAAAACAAAATAAAAAAATGAAAGGGACAATGTAAAAAGAATTTAAAAAACTGAAATAACAAAAAAAAAAAAAAAAAAAAAGAAAAAAAAAGAAAGCAAAGCACCCTTGCCTCCCTGCGTGCACAAGCGTTGACCCGCGTCAGTATGTAAACAGCGGTTGCACCATGAATGTGAGGTGTCACCGCGAATGTCAGATTGAGGGCAGAAATTCTAGCACTAGACCTCCTGTGTAAATATAAATTGGTGACCTGTAAAGGCTTTTAAAGAGTCACCTATCGAAAATGTACTGCCATCCAAAATGTATGTACTTTGTTGCCATTGCACGGGCATGCACAATTTTAAAGCATGTCATGTATCCATTTACTCAGCATAACATCATCTTTTATACTGTATCAAATAATTGGGCAATATATTGTGTTTTTGTGCATTAAAATTCTAAAAAGTGTATTTTTCCCAAAAGATTTGCCTTTGAAAAAAAATCGCTACGCAAATACTGTTTGACGTAAAAAATTTCAACACCCACCGTTTTATTCTCTAGGACCTTGGCTTTAAAGAATATATATATAATGTTTGGGGGTTCAAAGTAATTATCTAGCAAAAAAAGTTTTTTAATGTGAACAAAAAGTGTCAGAAAAGGCTTGGTCATCAAGAGTGGGTGACATGTGGCATAAGCTCCTAATGTTGGCCCTGAAATTCCAGGATAGTAGAAGCAACCCCTCCAGATGCAGATCTCATTTGTTGCCACATGTTTTTGGAAAACGAAGAAAGAAAACAAAAAAATTTTTCTTTTCTTTTTTTTCAAAACCCTGTGACAAAAAGGATATCTGTAAAATACTCAACATGCTTCTTATCAAATTCCTTGGGGTGTCTACTTTTCAAAAAGGGGTAATTTGGGGGGTTGGGGGTTGTTTGTACTATCCTGGCATTTTAGAGCCTCCGAAACTGTGATAGGTAGTGGGAAAGTGATATGAGGAAATATGCCCTTAAAAAGCGTGGAGGTGGTCATTGGATTATGGGGGCTTGTATGTAGCTAGGCTGCCAAAACGTCTCTCAAATGTGGTATCCTCATACTCGGAAGAAGTAGAATGTGTTTTGGGGTGTTATTCCACATATACCTAAGGCATGCCTGAGAAATATATAATTAAAGTGACAACTATGTGTAAAAAAAAAAAAAAAATTGTCATTCAAAAAATGTGGCAAAAAATAAAAATGTTCCATGGACTCAACGTGCCTCTCTGCAAAATCCTTGGGGTGTCTACTTTCCAAAAAGGGGTCATTTGGGGAGGGGGGGTTGTACTGCCCTGGCATTTTAGCACCTCAAGAAATGTGATAGGCAGTCAGAAAGTAAAAGCTACGTAAATGAAAATATATATGCCATAGTTTGTAGACGCTCTAACTTTCACACAAACCAATTATTATACATGTATTGAGATTTATTTTTACCAAAGAAATGTAGCAGAATCCATTTTTGCCAAAATGTACAGTCAGGTCCATAAATATTGGGACATTGACACAATTCTAACATTTTTGGCTCTATACACCACCACAATGGATTTGAAATGAAACGAACAAGATGTGCTTTAACTGCAGACTGTCAGCTTTAATTTGAGGGTATTTACATCCAAATCAGGTGAACGGTGTAGGAATTACAACAGTTTACATATGTGCCTCCCACTAGTTAAGGGACCAAAAGTAATGGGACAGAATAATAATCATAAATCAAACTTTCACTTTTTAATACTTGGTTGCAAATCCTTTGCAGTCAATTACAGCCTGAAGTCTGGAACGCATAGACATCACCAGACGCTGGGTTTCATCCCTGGTGATGCTCTGCCAGGCCTCTACTGCAACTGTCTTCAGTTCCTGCTTGTTCTTGGGGCATTTCCCTTCAGCTTTGTCTTCAGCAAGTGAAATGCATGCTCAATCGGATTCAGGTCAGGTGATTGACTTGGCCATTGCATAACATTCCACTTCTTTCCCTTAAAAAACTCCTTGGTTGCTTTTGCAGTATGCTTTGGGTCATTGTCCATCTGCACTGTGAAGCGGCGTCCAATGAGTTCTGAAGCATTTGGCTGAATATGAGCAGATAATATTGCCCGAAACACTTCAGAATTCATTCCGCTGCTTTTGTCAGCAATCACATCATCAATAAATACAAGAGAACCAGTTCCATTGGCAGCCATACATGCCCCACGCCATGACACTACCACCACCATGCTTCACTGATGGGGTGGTATGCTTAGGATCATGAGCAGTTCCTTTCCTTCTCCATACTCTTCTCTTCCCATCACTCTGGTACAAGTTGATGTCGGTCTCATCTGTCCATAGGATGTTGTTCCAGAACTGTGAAGGCTTTTTTAGATGTCGTTTGGCAAACTCTAATCTGGCCTTCCTGTTTTTGAGGCTCACCAATGGTTTACATCTTGTGGTGAACCCTCTGTGTTCACTCTGGTGAAGTCTTTTCTTGATTGTTGACTTTGACACACATACACCTACCTCCTGGAGAGTGTTCTTGATCTGGCAAACTGTTGTGAAGGGTGTTTTCTTCACCAGGGAAAGAATTCTTAGGTCATCCACCACAGTTGTTTTCCGTGGTCTTCCGGGTCTTTTGGTGTTGCTGAGCTCACCAGTGCGTTCCTTCTTTTTAAGAATGTTCCAAACAGTTGTTTTGGCCACGCCTAATGTTTTTGCTATCTCTCTGATGGGTTTGTTTTGTTTTTTCAGCCTAATGATGGCTTGCTTCACTGATAGTGACAGCTCTTTGGATCTCATCTTGAGAGTTGACAGCAACAGATTCCAAATGCAAATAGCACACTTGAAATGAACTCTGGACCTTTTATCTGCATCATTGTAATTGGGATAATGAAGGAATAACACACACCTGGCCATGGAACAGCTGAGAAGCCA